TAGCAGACTTAGAATCAATTTTTCTAACGAGTATCAAATTTTCCGAGCTCATGATACTCATTTTAGTTACTAGGAGGTAGAATTCTATAACTTGCAATCGTTACTTTTTCTAATCTAATTGGATATCTGGATAACTTTCCTTGTAAGAGGAATTCTCCGCTTATTGGCAGAATTTTTTTTTTTTTGGGTTGAGATAGATGTAAAGTCAATTTAAAGAAAATTCGAACTTGTAATATTGATAAAATTCTTGTTAGTTTAGAATCCCTTTATACAAAAAGTTGTTTATAGAAGTTGTCCTTCATTACGCAATATTTTTTATATAATAAGTTTAATTCAAAATTTCAATATACATGTACTTTGCTTACAGGCAAATGCAAATGTAAACGCATGAGGGATAGTATTAAATTTGATCGATATATCGTTTTTTTTATCGAATTATACTTACATTCTATTCTATTATAGAAGCTTTTGAATTTATTTGAAATGTCATAACTTTAAGATAGTTTTCTGACATGCGGAGTTTATCGACATACGAAATTGTATAGATATTTCATTAATTTTTATTGTGATATTTATAAAAGAGTTTATTAATCTTAGAAATATGTATCTTATTTATTTCAATTAAGAGACTAACTTTCTGCAAATTACGGATAGTTAAGTATACCGAAAATTTCAAATAAAATATATTTTGTGTAAGATCATGAAAAGTTTAAAGTTTGTATTCTGAACTTACATAGGATACGCATTGCAAAATGGTTGTTTTAATGAGATTTAAAATTCTACGCTACAATAAACACATTGTTTCTTTTTTTCTCTCTTTCTTTTTTCACTCTCTTTCTCTCTCTCCTTGGATTGTTGGGTGTTTTGACGATTAAAAATTTTTTATGTTAATTGTCAATAATTGGTGACACGACGAATTTTATAATTTTTTCATCACTTCATCACATAATCTGCTTGACTGAGACATGGCTTAAATCTGAAGTGTCAGATACTATGATCAACCTTCCTGGCTTTTCGTTGCTCAGCAATGATATATATTTGACACCAGCCCCACCACTTCTATCCCCATCAAGCAGATACCTACTGGCACTGAGTCAGCCGACTTCGCCGCTGCGCGAGAGCGAGCGAGAGAAAGCGTCCGTCCTTCTTGCTCTACTAGTAACTTGTAAACACAAACGAGTAATAGAGCGAAAAGGACAGCCGCTCTTTCTCTCTCGCTGTCTCGCTTCTCTATTAGTCGCTTGTTATAAGCGACAAAAAATCGAAAATGTGCTTTCTCGGCCGCTCGGCATGTTTCTGCATAAGGGAAAAAGGAACACACAGATTCTAGGTAACGATTTTGATAAATTTTAATAATCATATAATGCTTATTTAACCTCCCATTAATGATTTTAAAACGCGATAGTTTACGAAATATTAATTGTATGTTATAAAATTATAATATTAGGTGTTGGAATTAATTCGTAGCGTTTTTTAATGAAAGAATGTTATTTATTTCACATGAGCATTAAAAAATACATTAATGAAAGTACTTCCCATCACTTGTAAAACGCTACGAATTAATTCCAACACCTAATATATATTGGCATAATCTTTATAATTATATTAATCATCTCACTTTCGTAATTTAGTTCATTACAGAGTTTCAGAATTTTCACATACATTGAGATAATCCTAAAGTAAAATAGCCGTGTAATCTTATTAAAGTTGGCTCCTAATCGCGATCTCATTGTTGTCGCTATATTCGGCACGTCATTGGCCGTATCGCGTATCGCACCGGTGACACGTTTCGAGACGCATAATTGACGTGACGGAAAATGGATCGGTGAATGGCGCGTGTGAGAGGCTAGTGGAGGTTACCGAATATAATAAAATAATAATGTGGCAGTTAATAATATAATATGAGGGTAAGACAATAAGTTTTTAGAAAAACAAAGTAAAATACATTTTTTTTGATCGATTCATTTTTATTTCTCAACATAGTCTCCTTTTAGCTCGATACATTTGATCCAATGATTCTCCAACTTTTTCAAGCCGTCCGAATAATATGATTTGTCCAACCCTTCAAAATAAGCCTCTGTTTCGGCGATGAGCTGTTCTCTGATGGTGAATCTCTTTCCTCCGAACCATTTCTTCAGGTTTGGAAACAGGAAATAGTCGCAGGGAGCTAAATCTGGCGAATATGTTGGATGGGGAAGCAATTCGTAGCGGAATTCGTTGAATTTGGCTATCGGGCATGTGTGAACCCGTGCATTGTCTTGATGGAAGAAGATTTTCTTCTTCGCCAAATGGGGACGTTTTTTCTTTAAAATGTTGTTGAAACAGTCTAATAAAGCTGCGTAGTAATCGCCATTGATCAAGTGTTTCGACGGAAGGTAATCGATATGAATTATACCGCGTACATCTCAAAAAACTGTGGCCATCATTTCCGGCCGACTTTTTACGGTCTTCGTCTTCTTCGGAGCTGGTTCACTCGGTGAAGTCCATTGTTTTGACTATTCTTTCGTCTCGGGTGTGAAGTAATGGATCCATGTTTCGTCCACAGTAATGAATCGACGCAGAAATTCATTTAGATTAAGAGATCTTAAAACATCTTCAAACATTGTTTTGAAATCGTCACACCGTCGCGCTTATGGTCTACAATGAGCAAACATCCATCTTGCTGGTAGCTTTTTTATACCCAATTGTTCGTGCAAAATTGAAATCACTGTGCCATGTGATATGCTTGTGACCTCAACAAACTCGCGCACTTTCACTCGTCGATCAGTCAAAACAATATTGTGGACTTTATCGATGATTTCTGGTGTAGCAGCCTCAATTGAACGTCCCGAACGAGATGCATCACATGTGAATTTACGACCACGTTTAAATTCATTCACCCAATTGTATACAGTTGCAAACGCTGGTGCAGATGTGCCATGAACATTATCCGCTTTAATTTCTTTCGGCGTTAAATCTTTCACATATAGATGTTTGATCACTGCACGAAACTCGTTTTTTTCCATTTTGCAAAAAATACAAAGGTTGTTCGCTATAATCATCTACAGAAATGAAACTATACGATGAATTCCGCTCAAAATTTGACAGTAATCAACTGAAAGATGCTATTTGTCAAAAAATAATGTAACATGACACTGCGAATGCCCTCTGATAGATTTTCTAAGAACTTATTGACTTGTCCTCGTAGTAAAAATAATAAAATGCCTCGTAAGCTATTTATTTCTTATCACAGTAATGATAAAAAAGAGACGACAGTGGCGAGATGAGACATGAGGAAGTGAAAAAGAGGTCAGACGAGTGATGAGACGCGATAGAGGCGAGAGATGAGAGATGAGTAAAGGAAGATACGGAATAGAATCGAAAGATGAGAGAGAAGAGGGTTAGGTATTAGAAGAGTTAGTTATTTTGCGTTTTATTTTTGTATATTCTGATATAAAATGTCTTGTAAATTATATTAGGTGTACAACTTTGCTTCCGCCGGTTTTTTTCCGAAATTCGAGGCTTTATTGTAAAAAATTTATACATTTATGATTAAAAGTATTGTCCATTACTATCGCTAGCCATTACTTTCTCCCATTTTTCGAGCAGTGTACGAATCCCGCGTTGAAAAAACTGGTCATCTTTTGAGGCGATCCACGAATCGATCCAATTTTTTACTTCTTCATAAGACGGAAGTGCTGGTCAGCCAGGCCGTGTGCCATTGATCAAAATAAGTGATAGTCAGAGGGAGCAACGTCTGGAGAATACGGCGGGTGGGGTAGGACTTTCTATTTCAACGTTTCCAAGTATGTCTTGATCACTTTAGCAACATGGGGTCGAGCATTGTCATGCTGCAAAATCACTTTATGTCTCTCGTTGTATTGCGGCCGTTTGTCTTTCAATGCTCGGCTCAAACGCAATTGCGTTCGATACTGATCGCCTGTGATTGTTTCAGTCGGTTTTAACAGCTCATAATACACTACGCCTGGTCCCACCAAATACAGAGGCATGACCTTGGAGCCGTGAATATTCGGTTTGGCCGTCGACGTAGAAGCATGGCCGGGAACTCCCCATGATTTTCTTGAGGTTATCGTAAAATAAACCCATTTTTCGTCTCCAGTCACAATGCGATGCAGAAATCCCTTTCCCCATCTTTGCCTTTCAAGTAGCTGTTCACAAGCAAACAAACGCCGTTCAACATCTCTCGGCTTCAACTTGTACGGCACCCAATTTCCTTGCTTCTGAATCATCCCCATGACTTTCAGGCGTTTTGAAATGGTTTGTTGAATCACTTCCAATGATCGTGCCAATTCTTCTTGATTTTGACACGAGTCTTGATCAAGTAATGCCTCCAATTCTGCGAAAACCTTCTCTCTTCCATCGCTATGTCAAAATCACCGTTCTTGAAGCGTTGAAACCACTCACGACACATTCTTTCACTAATAGCGGCCTCACCATAAGTATTTGAGAGCATTCGATGAGCCTCAGCCGCAGATTTCTTCATATGAAGCAGAAAATTAAAATCTCCCGCAAATGATGAGAATTTGGCTCGTAAATTGACATTTTCAATCGAAAATAACTTTATGATGCAAATACAAATCGACTAATGTTTCTATGGGACTATGTTGACAGATGCTCAAGTTTATTGTATGACGTCTATGATCTATTTATTTCGACCACCACTTACCGCTAAAGCCATCTATAGGAAAACGGCGGAAGGAAAGTTGTACATCTAATACATTTTTTAGTAATGACAAAAAAAGATAATCAGAGTTGCAATACAGGAAGTTGGAAGTAAGAAATATATAGGTATCGAGCGAATTATGAGAGATGAGGGCAGGAAGTAACGAGATAGAGGCGAAAGACTTAAGAGACTAGAGAGAGAAGAAATGAGATATCGATGAGAGAAGAGAGATGCTAAATAAGAAAGTTACCAGAAGAATAGAGAAAATACGACACAATAAAAGACTTTACTATTTCTATCACCGTCTAGAATTTCCTTTTTCTCGGAAGAAAAGTTGCTTTTGCAAGATCTTCATCTGAGATGGTATCTGGTATCATTTTCATATCTGACATAATAAGTAAGAAATATGACATTTTATCAGTATTAAGAATGTTAAATAGTTGAAGTTTTGTTTTTACTTTAAATTATCAAGAACTTTACGAGATCTTTACGTCGTACTTCGAATCTAAATTTAGGTGAAAGAAGAAATCTAAATAAATGAGAGATGAAACTTTTATTTTTAAATTTAATTTTAAAATAAAATTGTTATTTTCAAAGAATTAATGATTTTATAGTCATTTTCTATTTTATTTCTGTACATTTTGATATAAAATATATTGTAAGCTATATATTTTTTTAGTAACGACGAAAAAGAGATGAGAGAAGCAAGACAAGACATTGGAAATGAGAGAGATGCAGGGCAAGTGATTGAACGAGATAGAGGCGAAAGGTAAAAGAGAGATGAAAGAAGAAAAAACTAGACAGAGAAGAAAGATGAGGGAGGACAGACAATAGACTAGAGAGATACGAAACCAGATATTAGTGAGAGATGAGAGACGAGAGATGAAAAATGAGAAAAAAGCGAGAAAGGCAAAGAAAAACGAGAAGTGAGAGAAGAAATTTAACTATAGAATTTAATCTTAAAATTATATTGTTGTTGTTAAAAATTAATAATTTGAGACACTTTATGTTTTATTTCTGTACATTTTTGTAAATAAAATGTATTGTAAACTATTTATTTTTTAGTAATGACGAAATCAGAGAATAGGAATCAGAGTGGCGAGACAAGAAATTGATAGGAAAAGAGATTTAAGACGAATGATGAGACGCGATAAATGCAAGAGAGATGAGAGAAGGAAGAAGCTAGATAGAATTGAAAGACGAATGAGGAGATTCGAGAGATGGGAAATGAGAGAGAAACGAGACAGATGTATATAATTCAAGATATAGATGAGAGGAGAAATTTTAACTTCGAAATTTAATCTTGAAATTAAATAGTTGGTGTTAAACAATGAATAATTTGTATATCCTTCTTTCTTTTGTAAAATTATTTTTAAAATTATTTTAAAGTGTAATTAAAAAAATAATAATGAAGAGATTAAAAATAATTTAAAAAATAATTTTCGCATTATTTGTTATAGAATAAATCAAGTTTTGAGAAATATAAAGAAATTGCTGATATGTAATTATGTGTAAAATTATACATAATTATATATTTCATATTACCAATTCTCATTTTTCTGAACAAATGTTCAGAATTAATAAAAAAATAGATTGGTTGCGACAAAAAAATTTCAAATTATCTAAATCTAAAATTAGACCTATTTCTTATGTTATTTCTAACGACACGAATGATAACCCTTCAAATATTCGTCTTGTTGTTGATAAGTTCTCGCATAATATCCATTCTAAGTTTGAAAGAATTGACATTAATCCCGATAATTTTAATGAGGCGTCTCCTTTAGATACTTTACATGAAAAATGGTTTATTAATTTGAGTGGCATTGACATTCCCTTAGAAGTTCGGTACTTGTTACAACTCAGTGAAAAATTTGGGCTTCCTAAATATAAATATAATAAATATAAATTCAATAAATATAATAAAGACAGTATCTTGATTGAATTTATAAAACACATTGAAAATAATATAATTGGTCTTCCTAATATTGGGTATGGGAATAAGTTTCCGCCCATTGCAGAAAGATGTCGTTAGTAGCATTGCTCGTGTGTTTGATAGAACGGCAAGACATGTTTTTGAAAGGTGTGTGTCCAAACTTTTGAGCCCAATAGATGGCATTCGTTCAAAGCGTAACAAAGAGTAACTTTTTTTTGCGTTGAAGATGTCGGAATTTATTCCAAAAAAGCAACATTTGCGGGAAGTTTTACTCCATTATTTTATTTTAAAGAAAAGTGCTGCGGAAACGCATCGTTTGTTCGTAGATATTTACGGTGAGCATGCTCCATCGAAAACTAGTTGTAAAGAAGTAGTTCGGCGATTCAACAGTAATGATTTTGACGTGCGTGATAAAGAACGCGAAGGTGCACCGAAAAAATTTGAAGATGCAAAATTGCAAGCATTACTCGAAGAAGATTCGTGTTTATCGATAGGTTGGCAAAAGAATTAAATGTTGATAGATCCACTATTGAAAAACGTCTACACGCAATGGGAATGGTGCAAAAAGAAGGAAATTGGGTGCCATAAAAATTGAAAGAGAGACATGGAAAGACGTTTGGTCATCTGCGAGATGCTTCGTCAATGACAAGGAAGGGTTTTCTATTATACATCGTATCGTAACTGGCGATGAAAAATGGATCTACTACGATAACTCTAAACGCTTGAAAGCATGGATGATACCAGGTCCATCAACGCCAAAACGAAATATCCATGCTTCGAAGATTATGTTGTGCATCTGGTGAGATCAAAGAGGTATTATATATTATGAGCTGCTCAAACCGTCCGAAACCATCACTGGCGATCGTTATCGGCTACAACTGATACGTTTAAACCAAGCTTTGAAAGAAAAACGATCGGAATAGGACAATAGGCACAACAAGTTGATTTTGTTACATGACAACACTAGGCTACACGTTGCAAAACCGATCAAGAAATACTTGGAAAGAGTAAAGTGGGAAATTCTGCCCCACCCGCTGTATTCACCGGACATTGCCCCTTCAGATTTCCATTTGTTCCAATCCATGCAGTCGGCCCTTTCTGGAGAACGATGCAATTCTTATGAAGGTATCAAAAAATGGCTTGATGAATGGATCGCTTCAAAAGAATCAGATTTTTTCATTCGAGGAATCCGTTTATTATCGGAAAGGTGGGAGAAAGTTGTCGCTTCCGAAGGAGCATACTTTGAATAAACTCACTTATTAAGATTTGTTTAAATAAACACATCTTTTTCATTTAAAAAGGGCGGAAATTTATTCCCATACCCAATAATATCATTAACTTTGTTAGGAATAATTTTTTCCCAATACTCAATAGATTCCATAACAATTTTCCTTCTCCTACTTTTGCTGACAAACTGATTTTGGAATGGTTACGTATAACAAAAAGATTTATTAATAACCATCCCAATATATTTATCACAAACGCCAATAAAGGTAATGTTACTGTTGCTCTGGACAAGGGCGCCTACGTATCAAAAATGGAGGAGATTCTTTCAGACACTAACACTTACGCGATTGTCAATAAAGATCCAAGTAAAAAATTGACTCAGAATTTACTTTGTTGGTGAGATGGAAGCGTGATCAGTTTATTGACGAACAAACATATCGTAGATTGCTTACAACTGATGGTGTTATACCTAGAGCTTATGGTTTGACTAAAATACATAAGGATGGTAATCCATTGAGAGTGATTGTGTCATCTATTAACAGTCCATTATATTATCTTTCTCTTTTTTTGCATAATTTAATTAGTGATAGTATACCAAAAGCTCCTAGTTACATTAAAGACAGTTTCCATTTGGTTGAACATTTAAATGTACTGTTTTTGTACTGTTTTTGATTCCGAATATGTTTTGGCTTTGTTGGATATAGTATCCCTTTTTATTAATATTCCTATTGAGCTAGCATTAAATATCGATAGGAGATAGGTTTACATCTCGGCGAAGACAAACATTTCAAAAAACGAGTTTATTATTGCTGTTAGATTTATTTTAGATTCAACCTTTTTTTGCCTTTAATAATAGAACTTATAAACAGATATTTGGCACTCCGATGGGTTCACCGTTATCTCCAATAATCGCCGACATTGTAATGCAAGATTTAGAAGAAACAGCACTTAAAAAATTGTCAGTACAACGTTTGTTTTATTTTAGATATGTAGACGATGTTCTTCTCGCGTTTCCATCTGATACCATCAATGACGCTTTAAATATTTTTAACTTTTTACATACGAGATTACAGTTTACTTTGGAAGTTGGTACAAGTGGCAGATTAAGTTTTCTTGATACAATGTATTCTTGTTATAAATAATCAGAGAATTATATTTGGCATTTATCATAAAAAAACATTTTCCGGAAGATTCCTTAATTTTCATTCAAATCATTCTCTTTACCATAAAAAAGACACTATCATCAGTTTCATCGACAAAATTATTCTATTATCACATCCATGATTCCAACAAAAAAATTTGATAGATGCTATTCATGCTTTTTTAAATAACTGTTATCCTCTTCCCTTTATTTTCTCTACAATTAAAGTTGAGATTAAAGTTTCATATACATAATAAATATTGGGTCATCTAAAAAGTATCCGCGGTTTTTTGTTATTAGATGTGTGTTGATGGTCATATATCTAGTGACAAAGTACCGCGGATACTTTTTAGATGACCAAATATATTACACATAATTCACGTGAGAAAGACAAATATTTTACGATTCCTTATGTCAAATCTATTTCTGAAAGTTTCTTTCCTATCTCTAGTATGTTTTATTGTAAATTAGCCTTTTCTATTCCCAACATATTAAAAAGTTTTATAAAAAGAGGAAAAAATAAGCTTTCCTATCCAATCAGAATGTTGTTTATAAGATCTCCTGCGATGATTGTGAGGCGAGTTATGTTGATTAGACAAAACGAAAATTGAGTACGAGATTACATGAACATATCTCTGACATTAGGAAGAATATGGGTTCTCCTACTGTCATAACTAAGATGTGTGTTGATGGTCATATATCTAGTGACAAAGTACCGCAGATACTTTTTAGATGACCCAATATATAATGAATGACGGCACTTTACACTTTCTCTATCGACATTAATAACTTTTATGTCTTATAATATAAAAAATAATTTTTGCCTCTTTCTTTTAATTTTAATTTTATTACTTGCGATTTGTTTTGTACCTTTCTTTTTATTATTTACGACTCGATTTGTATTTTTCTTATTATTTTTATTTTTATTCCTGTCGTAATTTATTATTACATTTTGTACTTGCTAACAGAAACATGTTCGTCCTTATTCTACATACACAATCTGGAGGAACACATTGTTGTCAACTGCAACTTTTATATAATTTTCAATTTATTTTGGAGCGAGATTTATAGATGATATTGCGTCCGAGAGCAAATTTTTAATTAATTTTTATATATTTTATCTATGTAACATTTCCATTGTTATTTTTGCGTCACATTGAAAATGATCCAGGGATCGAAACGTTTGTGTTGTTTTTTACTTGCTGACGGTCAAATTAAATTTCATGTTTTTAAATTCATGACATGTTTTATTTTAACTATTTAATATAAATTTGATAATTTATAATGATTGTTTTAGGCTCGTAGCCCTTTGTCTTTTTATTTATTTTAATTTATTGAGCCTTATTACTTTTATAATTTCTCTTCCGAATCCGAAATCCTAGAATCCAAAATCCTTGGAAAGAGAAAACTTCTCCTAAAAATTTAAATAATATATATATCCAGAAAATTTTGGAGAGAGAAGTTACCAAACCTCTTCTAAAAATTTAAATAATCCAGAAAATTTTGGAGAGGGAAGTTATCAAACCTCTCCTGAAAATTTAAATAATTCAAAAAATTTTGGACAGGGAAGTTATCAAACTTCTCCTGAAGAATTAAATAATTCTAGAATCGCAGAGGAAAGTTTCCGTACTTCCCTGTTAAATTCTACTCTTGTCGATTGCAAGGAGGTAAATAACCAAATCTCGCTATGCAATGCGACTCAATTCTGCCAAAGGAAAAGAGTTCCACTCTAAAAAAAAATTAAATTACCAAGGATTAGAATGCCCGCAAAAAAATGATAATCATCAAAGTGATTCCTCTCATATTACTATCGATGAACTTCTAGAAAGAATGCAATCATGTAATCCTTATATAAATGTTCATAATTCGAAGGGAAATAAATCATCTTAAAAAATTCTAATCTACACAAAATCAATCTCAAGAAATGATAGACAAATTCATACGCAAACGTAAGTCAAAACACAAGG